TCACTTTTGTAGGTTTGTTTTTACTTGTATACTTCTGTATCTGGGTTGAGTACTGGATGATATTATCATGTGTCATGTGTCTCAGGTTGTTGTGTGCTGTTGTTGGTTCTCTGTCCAAAGAACTCCTTTTAGTCTTTCTATAAGATTGATATGAGTTTTATGAATTATTTTAACTTGTGTTTAGTTGGAAAGATCCTGGTTTCACCATATTTGATGGACAGTTTTGCTGAATATATAAATCTTAGCTGGTAATTTTTTTCTTTCAGTGTTTTATAAGTGTCATTCTTGTTATATATGTCTTGTTGGAAAATCAGAGTTTACTTAGTCTTATTAGTTCCCTTTTGTAAGTAACTTTTCATTTTCCCTGAACTGCTTTCAGTATTCTTTCCTTGTCTTGGTTTTGAAAAAAGTTTGATTATAATATTTCCTGCTTTTTTTTTTGGGGGGGGCCCTATCTTGTTTGAAGTTCATTCAACTTTCTAAAAGCATTATCTTCTCATCTTTCATGATGTTAGGTAAGATTTCTTTCAACAACTCTTGGGCAATTTTCTCTAAGGTTTTTGTTTTTGTCACTTCCTATTCTGGAATTCCAATCACACGTAACTTATTCCTCTTGAGTGACCCACATAAATCTTAAGCTTTCTTTGGCCTTTTGTTTTTTCTCTTCAGAGTTTTAAATTCTTTTTTCTGCTTGTTCCTTTGTTGTTATTACTGTGTTCTGACTTATAGTGATCCTTTATAGGGCTTCTGAGAGTGGCTTGTGGGTTTGAACCAGCAAACTTGTAAATACCAGTCCAGTGCTTAACCTCTCTCCCAATCTGTCTTTAAGTTCAGTAATTTAGCCTTCTGTTGAATCAATTATACTTCTTTTCTCTTTCAGTGTATTTCTATTTCTCAAGTCTTAAGTATTGGTCTTCTGACTTTCTAATTGTTTTTGTATGGTTTTCAATTTTGCATTTATTTTGTCAGTTTGTTTTTACAATGTTTTCCTGAATTTCTAAGGTTTTTTTTCCTGTGTCGTTCCTTGCATTCCTTGATCTCTCAATCTGTTGAAGGTACCTAAATAGCATTATTTTTAAATCCTTATGCAATAGTTCTGATACCATTTCTGGTATCATATTTTCTGACTCTATTTTTTGATCACTTGTTTGATGTACTCTGTCTTGTTTGTGTAAGCAGAAATTGTGTATTTTTTGTGAGATATTGTGGTGTCATTGTATTTATATTTAATTGATGATTACATTTTGTGTTCTCAAGCACTCACCACCTGTCTTCTGGTGGATGTGATAAAGACTGGAAGTGTGAACACAGTTCTGTGTTTACTGTTTGGTAAGGTAGTTCAGGGCAGGTTCATGCACCTTCAGACACAGGCGTTGTCTGCCCAGTGGCCATCCTCAGACCCAGCAGAAGTTGTGCAGGGGAGGATGCCATTGGCCTCTGGGTTGGTGAGGTCGGGAGCTGGCCACACCCTGGCTCCCAGGACGCAGAACAATGGAAAGCCAACCCTCTTTACTGTCCATCTCAAGATGGCCGAGCTGCTTCACGACAGCCCACCTGTTTTTCTTGTGTTTTGATCCTCCTACAGCTTCCTTTTCCAGTAGATACTCAGTCCACCTCTTTTTCCTGTTCTCTAAAGGTCAATATTCCAAGGTCACCATCTCTGTCTGTTTCACTTGGCTTCCCATGTGTTTGTTGTGAAGGGTCGGCTCATTGTGTTTGCCTACTCTGCTATCTTGCACCACTATATGTCGTAAAAGTTATAAATGAAAATTTCATAGATCTAAAAGAATAGATCATAGATTTTAGTTTTGGATAGGAGATTTTAACATACCTCTTATTGACCAAGATAGCAAGCAGCAAAAAATGACTAAGAATATACAGGAATTAAGCAAGATCAGCAAATTCACTTAATGGCCATAATTCACTTCATGGCATATTGTAGGTAGAACATATGTACAGAATAAACATTCTTTACAAGCATGCATAAGCAATCTCAGCAAAGTTCAGAGGCTCAAAACCATACTTTCTCTGAGTATAGCAAAAGGATAACGAGAAACCCCCTCCCCCCATGTGTTTGAAAATTAGGAAGATCACTTCTAAAATACCCTATGTATTAAAGAAGAAATAACAAAAATAAGGAAATATTTTCAATCGAATAATGAATACTTCTGTAAAAATGGCATGGGGATCATCTCTAACTTCAGAAGGGAGGAGAATCATCTCTGCATCAGCCCAAGGTTGCTTTCTATGAGGCAGAGTTCAGGCATGTCTTCACCTTTCAAACTTGTTACACCAAACTTTTACCAGGAGTGCTAAGTGCATCTCCATGCTTCAATAGAGGGCTCTTATCTTCTAGTGATAAAGAATAGTAAAGTGAGGCAGAGTTTCCGTATGAGCAAAGAGTTATAACAAAGAGGCTTGTAAGCGGAGATGAGAAGGGCTTAACGCAATGCTTACCTTCCATTTCCCTGGACAAAGGCTTTACTAGGATTTAAAAGTTTTTGCGTGGGGAAAAACCATTATGTTTATTTATAGGGATGCGTGAGGATTTCCTGGAAATGGGCCATTTAGAAGGGGCCATACTACTTGGGTACATGCGTTGCATTTCTAATAGTGACAGATATAACTTATTCTGGGATGTTGAGCATGTGCGGTTCTTCAGTACCCTAGTTCAGATTCCTCCCAGTGGCTGACATTCTCCTTTGCCCCAGTAGAAATTTTGTCCTATGAAGTTATGTCTAGGATACTAGGCAAACCAGCCCAACCTGTAAAATATCTCACAAGGAAGTAAAAAATAATACAGTTTCTATGGGTGGTCTTTCTTAATGGCATGTCCCAGGATATGGCTGCTCAGCTATGCACCCTGGGCAGGTCCTGTGCAGTGCTACAATTGCTTTAGATCATCAGTAAAAACAAGGCCAGGGGAAGACTGGTGGAACAGACCATCAATTGCTCATAAACAAGTATAGGCTAAAGCTGAAGAAAATTGAAACAAGTCCATGACACCCAAAATACAACATTGAAGATATACCACCTGAATTTAGAGACCGTCTCAAGAACAGATGCATTAGACAGAACACCAGAAGAGTTGTGGGATGACGTCAAGAACATACATGAAAAAAACAAAAGGTCCTTAAGAACATACATGAAAAAAACAAAAGGTCCTTAAAAAGGCAGAAAAGACTAAAATGGTTATCAGAAGAGATTCTGAAATTTGCTCACCAGCATAGAAATGTTAGAGCGAATGAAAGAAATGAGGTAATGGAGTTGAACAGAAAATTTCAAAGGGCAGCTAGAAAAGAAAAAGTCAAGTATTGCAAAGGCTTAACTTCTTCCAACACATATTGTTACATAATCTTACATGTGTGTGCATCCATATACACATAATAAAAAGAAAAAAACCTTTCAGTAGAAAAGTAGGCAAGAGACGTGAGCAGGCAGTTCAGAAAAGAGGGTTTCAGGTGGCCAAGAAACAGGAAAAGGCTTTCAGCCACATTTTAGTAATCAGAAAAAAAAAAGCAAATCAAAACTTTAATGAGCTACCACTCACCAGAATAGTTCAAATTAGAAAAGCATTGATAATACCAAGTTCTGGTGGGGATACAGAGTAATGGGGACTCAAACAACACTGCTGAGGGTTGCTGCAAGCTCTGTGGAAAAGTTTGGATAGAATCTTTTAAAAGATGCATACCCTATGCATTTTGGGTATATTTTCCTTCAAGAAATATGTGGACATGTACACCCGGAGGCAAGATTATTGTTTCATGCACAGTGGTTTATTAATTTTCATTAATATTCTGGTGTCTGAATACACCATAACTGTATTCTAGTGCAGTGGACATAGAATTTCTACATGGGGCCTGGTACAAATGGGAGGCTCTGAGTGTAGTTTTGTACTTGTGTTCATATGATTCACATGTGTTAGGCATGCACCCAGGAAGGGAACTCCACAGGGTATGCATTTGCTCCGTTTTAAAAAGTAATAAAGCTGAGCCTGCCTTCTCCTGTAAAGATTTACAGTCTTGGAGACGTTCTATAGGGTTGCTGTGAGTCCAAATTGACTTCATGGCAGTGTCTGAATTGGGTGTGATACCACTGATATGAAGGTCAAACAGTTAAGTCAAACAAAGTATATTGTTTGGGGTACATTCTTGAAGAACATATGGAAGTAGTTTCATAAAATTCAGAAGAGTGGCTACCTGTGTGGGGGTAGTGATGGGAATGATACAAGTATTTCCCTAACATATATTGAGCACTTATTTTGTGTTAGGTTCTATTCCAGGTGTTTTTAAAGTAGTAACTAAATTAATCCTCCTGACAACATATAAGATAGAGTTTATTATTCCCATGTTAGAGATGAAGAAGCAGGTGCAGAGAGGGTAGGTTGCTCAGTAGGATTAGACCTCAGGGTTAGACCTCAGCCTGCCCTGCTCACCAATGTGCACCTCTGGACCTCGTTGCTATGAGCTAGGAATTTGCCTCACAGCCAGAGTGGCTCAGCTAATGAGTGAAAGTATTTGTCCACCTCAGTGTTAGCAGTGAACAGGCATAATTGTTAATATTCCTTTTCTATCTGACCCCTCCCACAGACACCCCCAAAGCAAGCACTGTCTTAAATCCAGGGTCTCTGCAATGCATGCTTGAGCCCTGACTGCTTCTTCAGGACCGACGCTCCAAGGCGTGGAACAGGGCCTGGCCCTCTGAGAAATCATCAGAGGAGTTTACTGTGTGCATAGCATCCTGACTGTGTGCCCGTGGGGTTGCGGCAGGGTACTAAGGAACAGGAAGGAGAAGGCCAAGCAGGGCCTGGTTCCCTAAAACCTCCCCTCTTGACTTGACTGACTTGGAGTTGGCAGAGGCCCTTAGTAGGGGAGTTCTCCTGTCTGATTCTGCCTTCCATCAAGCCCGGTACCTCCCCAACTCCACGGGACACACCTTGATGTCTGCCCTGTACCTCTCCAGCAATTTCTTATGTATTGACCTTCCTTGTTCTTCCCAAGGGCCACAGATTGTGCTCAGTGTGTACGGACCGGACGTGTTTGGGAACGACGTAGTCCGAGGCTATGGGGTGGTACATGTGCCCTTCTCACCTGGCCGGTATGTCTTTTCTCCAGCCTGAGCCCAGGGCCACAGCCTGCCCGTCACTTGGTCATCCTGCTTTGAGACAAGGCCCATCAGCGGGACTTATCTAGGTATAGTCAGGGCCTCTGGAAGTCCCTGGTTACCTGGCAGCTTGGTCTAGGGTGGTACCGGAGCAGGACCTCTCATATCTAGACAGAGACCCTCGGGACTAGGGGTGGAGACTCATACTGCAGTCCACGCTCCATGGGACGGGCAGGTAGTGTCAGAGCACCCTACTCCCTACTGGCAACATCAGGGTTCCTGAGAGGAGGCTGGGTTCAAGACCGTGTTTCTGAGCAGTTTGGTCCACCTTCATATAGTTCCTTGTCCTTCACTTCTTAGTCACTGGTGCATTCTGTGCCTGGCTCTGCTGTGTACCAGAGTTCACCAGTGTGTTTGACATGGACCTGTCCACAAAGCCCTCAGAGCAGTGGATGGGGAGATGTGGTCCCTTTTTGGCAGTGCAGTGACAGGGTATAGACATGAGGTATCCTGAGGCTAAGAGGCAGGGCAGGTCATCTGGCCTTAAAAGAATGAGGAATATGTCCAGAGGAGGTGGTTGGGATAGTGGTGGACTGGGAGCTTGGAGGAAATGTGTTGCTGAAACAAGCAGCAGAGGATGTAACGGAAGTGGGTTTGGTGGGTATGTGTGGGACCCGATTTTGGGGACTAGTGGATAGCAACCAGAGCAGGTTGAAGGCCATAACTCCAGGACTGAGGGAGCACCAAAACAGGACTAATTAAGGTTCTGGGACTTTGCAGGGACTTCCTGCAGAAGGACATCCCAATCTGGCCTTGAAGGTGGCAGAGATTTTAGAAATGGAAAAAGGCCAGAACTTGCTGAGAGGTTCAGTGTGAGCCAAGACTCAGGTCTCTTTTTTCATCTGCAGCATTTTCTTACCCCTTTAAAGAAGTCAGGAGCAGTTACGGATCCAGCCCTCTGAGCATGGGCTGACCTGTAGTGCCTACCAGTAGGCAGAAGGCCAGCACTCAGGCAGCTGGGTTGGGCTTCTGGCATTGATTCTGACTTGGACCAGCCTCCTGAACCCAGGACTCGTGGATGTGTGCCTGTCCCTTGTTGTTGTTAAGTGCCCTCGAGTTGCTTCCAACTCATAGTAACAACACTTCATAGGTTTCTGAGGAGGAGCTGGTGGGTTTTAACTGCTGACCTTGTGGTTAACAGCACCACACTTTATTGAAGGTTCAGAACGTTCTGTTATGTTTCTGTCACTCACTACAGTCAGTGAACCACATCTGTCTGTGAAAACATTTGTTTTAGGCACAAAAGGACCATCCCCATGTTTGTTCCAGAATCTACATCTAAACTACAAAAGTTTACAGGGTGAGTTTCCTACCCTGCCCCAGCCCCTCCTTTTGGTTCAAGTCATCAGAATGTGTGGAGGGTTTTCACATGCCATTCTCATGATGTGTCAGTAGCCTGTCTTGGAGACAGGTCATACAGAATTTCCACCTGTGCCCACATCGCTCAGGTCCCAGTGCACAGTTTGAGCTTACATGAAACCTCACCGAGGAAAGAGTTTCACTGCCAGAAACGTGAGACCTCACACTTGGCCAGGGTGTGCTTGTGCTTGGTTCATTGCTGGGACCCTGGCTATCCTGTTGAAAGAGGTCTTCCTGGGCAAGGGACTTGAGGGTGGAACTACACTGGTAACGTAGTGGTTACAAATTGGTCTGCTAACCTCAAGGTCAGCAGTTCAAAACTACTAGCTGTTCCGTGGGAGAAAGATGAGGCTTTCTGCTCCTGTAAAGAATTACAGCCTCAGAAACCCTGTACAGGGTCACTATGAGTCAGAACTGACTCCACAGCATACAGCCATCACCACCACCAGTACACTGGGGAAAGTCTGATACAGGAAGGAAGTTTGATGGATACCATCTCAGACAGGGCAAGTCTGTTAGATTGAGCAGTGGACTCTGGCTGGAACCTGCATGTTCCAGCCCTTCTCTCCAGGCTCTGGTACCCACAGCTCAGACTGGCACCAAGGTGTCCCGTTCCTTCTCCCCCCACTGCATCCTCTAGCAGTTCTTCCTCATCCTACCTCCAGAGGGACTCTCCACACTCCTCTCCTAAGCCATTCCGCAGCCTGACTGCCACGCTCAGTCCTGCATGAGTTTCCTGTGGCAAATAACAAATTACCACAGGTTTGAGGTCTTAACTGAAAACGTTTACAGTTCTGGGAACTAAGACTCCAAAAATCCTTATCCATGGGACCCAATGTGCAATGTGGCAGCAGTACCACACTCTTTCCAAAGGTTCTAGAAGAGACTCTTTGCCAGCTTCTGAAGGCCCTAGGAGGCCGTTGACTTGTAGCCACACCAGTCCCATGTCTGCATAGTGGGTCACATGCCCACCTCCTCTTTGGTGTCTATCAACCTCCCTCTTATCAAGACACTTGTGAAGACTTTAGAGCCTGCCTGGACAATCCAGGATTATCTCCCTTGCCAAGATCCATAATCATACCTAAAAAAATGTTTTTCTATAACCCAAGCTTAGGGCAGGCACAGATCAGTTCTCACTCCCTGTCTGGGTAGAGGAAGCTGCCCAGGCCAGTGAGCAGAGAGCCACCCCAGCTGCGTGGGGCAGAGTGGAGCGGTCAAGGGGTGATGCTTTGGGGACGACCTCTGGAGTTCTGCCGCTTCCTAGCCTGTCAACTGGAGATGTAGGCCAGGTATACTGCTTATGGCTGCGGGTGCCTCTGGCCCTGCTCCTGTACCCCTTGGAGCCCTCCAAGCTGCCCACACTGGCCTCCCAGGACAGGAGGGTGTCCTGGAGGGAGCTTTCTGCTGGGGTGTTAGGGAGCTGCCCCACCCCTCACCCCCACACACAAGACTGGGGCTGGGAGGAGTGCACAGAAGCACCTAAGGGCATTTCCAGGGGCCCTAGCTACACAAGGAGGCTAACTCCAGGAAGGCAGGGAGGACCAGACCCACGTCTGTTTTTTTTGACTTGGATGTGTCAGAGGTGTGGAAGCAAGCCTGGAAAGGGGCCAATCTTCCGTGCCTAGGTAACGTCCATCCTGCTGACTTTGACCCCTAGAGTATAAGGACGGGAGGCTACCAGGAGCCTAACTGTGGGCAGGGATTTCCAGGGTGAGAGGTTCAGGGGTGAGGTCTGTGTTTTGTGTGGCAGGTTACACAGTGCCTTCATTTCATAGCCCAAGGGGGCAGGTGCCATCATTCACCACACTTCAGTGGGGTTCAGAAATGAGAAATGTCAGAGGTGGGAAGCCCAGAGCTGACTCTAAATTTGCCCCTTCTGACCAGCCTATCAGCATGGAGTGGAGTCCACCAAGTGGTGCCCAGGACCCGGGATCCCTTCCTAGTTTCTCTTCTCCGTTCAGCTTGGGTCATCTTTTTGGCATTTCACTTTGTTTTGTCATTCCTGGGACCAGCCCAGCATTCCCCTCAGCATCCATAGTGAGTCCACAGGGAGGACTGTGATAGGAAAGCTGGAAACTACAGCTGAGGGATGGGGTGGGAAGAGGGTTGACTAGGAGGCACCTAGAGACGGCTGGAGTAGGATTCCAGGGAAAGGGTGGCAGTGGTGGGTGGGGACAGGGCCTTGGGGCACTCAGGCCTGGTACAAGTCCACCAGGCACCCATTTTTCGGTTGACCTGGACAAGGGCTGCTACCTCTTTGATGACCAGAATTGCCTTTCAGTGAAAAGGGTAGATGTGGACAGGCTGTGGGTGGGTAGGTGGGAGCGGTGCTAGTTTCTGAGACAGGAATTCATGTTGAGTGAACTGGGGCACACAGGCCAGTGTCCCTTCTCACTCTTCTGTGTCTTCTTTTCCAGCTGGTTCATGGGTCGGCGGCCCGAGTATATAGATCCCAAAGTGGTGGCTCAAGGTGAAGGCCGGGAAGGTAAAGTGACACCTCCCACTCCCCACCCCCCGTCATGTTGGCACCTGGGCAGGAACTAGGTAGGTGATCCAAGGAGGTAGCCAGCCGGTGAATACCCAGGGTAGGCACCTAGAGGTTGGTGATACAGGAATGTTCCCAAAACGCCTTCCAGGTGTGGTCCTCCTCATCCCTATCATGGCCCTTCCTTCACCCAGACACTGACACCCCACTGCTTGACACTGTCACCTGGCCCTGCTGACGGGCCACCCTCTGTCCGCAGTGACCCGAGTCCGCTCCCAGGGCTTCGTCACCCTCCTCTTCAATGTGGTCACCAAGGACATGAGGAAGCTGGGCTACGACACCGGGCCTGTGGACTCACAGGGTATTGTGGGGCCCAGCCCAGCCCAGAATATCCTTTGGTGAGGGGTCTCTGCCTGTACCTCCCTTCTGACGTCACAGGCTCAGTGGCTCTCCATGATGCTGCCGTTTCAGAGAATGGACCAGACAGAGGTGCAGCTTGGCGGGGAATGTATAAAAAGTTTGTGTAATAAAGAGTTTCCAGAGAGCCCTCGCCTGCAGTTTCTCTCTCCTTAGCACCTCCCCCAACAGGCGGAACACCCTTTCCTGACCATTTCAGAAACTACCCTCCTCCCAGCACTGGTGCTTCCCAAGCTTAGATACTCACCCCCAGTGGGCGGCAGTCAGTGCCCACATTTCTGTGAATCAGGCTGCTAACCTCAGGGTCTGCAGTTTGAAACTACCAGCTGTTCTGCGGGAGAAAGATAAGGTATTCTGCTCCCGCAGAGATTTACAGCCTTGGAAACCCTGTGCAGGGTCGCTATGAGTCAGAACCAACTCCACGGCACATAACAACAATAGGGTGTGCCATCCACAAGGCAACCAGGAGATGGACCGGTGGTACCTGGAGGTGGGCGATGCCTGGGGACAAGTGCTGCCGGGGAGAACACACACCAGGACAGCAGTTAAGACTGGAAGCTCTTCTCCTGAACAAGGAAACAGGATGCACTTGGAGGCAGGGGACACTGAACAGAGGCCTTCCATAGACCCTGGGCTCAGACAGCCAGCTGCCCTTGGCAAGATGGTGTTAATGCAGCAAAGTACTCGCTGGAGCCCCAGCTCTGCTACTTTCTGTCTGGATGGAGATGAGCCCCTATAGCCCATACTCAGACCATCTGCCATAGCCCCAGGATCAGGTGGCTGTGCCCACACGCAGGTCCCCGGTCACTCTGAGGGGGGGGGTTCAGCCCCAAGCCTGGGTTTTCTTGCACTCCACCAGTGAGGCTCCTTTCAGCCTGGACAACACTCTCAGCAGGTATAAAGGGAACCACCAAGTACCAGGCCTGGGTTCATGGCAGGCCCTTACTTAGAGCCTAGAGAACACCAGCCACCACCCGGGTACTTGAAGCCATCACTAGCAGTGTATGCGGCTCAGGCCTCTGCCCCAGTGCACCGCGCACACTTGAGCTCATGCTATGCCCTCCATTTAGGAGTGGTCTGGCCCTTACTGGGTCCTGATTTGAGTCCTGCAGCCCAGTATGAGTAATCTTTCCTATTGTACCTGGTATACCTGGGCCCAGAAGCAGACTGTATGTTCTTCTGACAGAATGTGCCCCCACATTCCCTGAAGCCCAGGCCATCATACCACACCAATAACTGCTACTTAGAGGCTGGACTGCCTGCCTTATGCCTCATCTTTGCCTCCAGCTGCTGGTGACATTACTGTCCACATGGATTTGTTAATGTTATGTGCCATGGAGTCAGTTCCGACTCATAGCGACCCTGTACAGGGTTTCCGAGGCTGTAAATGTTTATGGGAGCAGAAAGCCTCATCTTTCTCCCGTGGAACAGGCGGCAGTTTTGAACTGCAGCCCGATTCGTAACCACCACCACCACGTGGATAACCGCCAACAACTTGGCCTCCACTCCTCAGCAGTTAGTCACTTCTATGGTTAGACCCATTTTCAGTTGTCAGTGTGCATCCTGTACCTTGTCTGCCTTAGCCTCCACATCACCCCTATGAGCCATGTCTGGACACGTTTTTGCTCCTCAGCTGCTGACCAGTCCTCTGATCACATGTCTGAGAGAACTGGCCATTTGTACAACCCAAGTGCCGGTGGCATGGACACCAAATAGGAGGTGAGCACAAGAGGCCCCTGAACACTAGCCCAAAACATAAGTGGTCATGTCCAGTCCACCATTTGTACAGGAAGAAAGAAAGCACTATGGTCAACAATTCCATTGGTCACACCCCTGAAGACCAATGGTCCTAGGGTTCCCCACTGAGTACATCCCACTTTTGTCCTCTGTCCCCAGCACTGATATTCAGAAGCCAAATTCTAAGGTCACATGGGCAGGAGGACCCAGTCAGCTTCCAGGCTAGTTAGGCCACCGTGCGCCACCCACTCCAATCCGTCATGGATTAATGAACGTTGGTGGAAGGACACAGCTAGAAACCGCATTGTGATACAAATTATAAATTATATTTATACAATAAATATCAAGTCAATACAAGCTCAAAGGCAGTCACCAGCTATGAGACCTCTAGAGGGACCCTCCCTCCATTCATGCTCTTCGGGGCACACGACAGCTGGGCGGGCAGCTTCATCATCAGTGTAGTGGGAGTAGGCAGTGTGTGCCAGGACCGGGTGTGGGGGCTGTAGTGGGTGAACGGGTAGATGGAATTGCTGGCCTTAAGTAGTTTAGTAGAACTTGAGTTGAGCCACGGACCACTCGGGTGAGAACACCTTTCCAGGGCAACTCCTGCCCCACATCCTACTGTGCCAACAACTGCCCTAGCCAGGAACAGACAGATGGCTTGTTCTTGAACAAAGCAGCTCTGGGATGGCAAGGAGCTAACGTGGTGCATGCTTTAAAACAGGAGACAGGAGGGTGGCCTGAGCAAGCAGAGGCAGCTCTGAAGCTCACGGGTGCCCCATCCTTGATGACAGGGCATGGAAGGGGGCTGCTTCTCCCTCAAGGAGCAAGGCTAAAGTGGGCCATGCACATGGATGGGGAGTGGCCCTTTTCTGGGGAGATGCAAGCCTTGTCTTATTAAGTGGCTGAATACTGTATATTGGCTGGTGAGGTAAGGAAGGCAAGAGGCTGGGACAGGGCATTGATATTGATGCACGGTTGTTAAATAACTACCCTGTGTGAGCATGATTTTTTTCTTCCTCTACAGAGCAAGAGATATATTGTTTCAAGTCAGCAAAATGTATCTGGAGTGTACAGGTGGGTGGGCCCACCTGACCCCTCACCTGGTCCCAGTCTGGGGATGTCCCCAGGCCCAGAGACAGAGCAGTGCTGTCTGCCCAAGATGATGTCACATTCACACTACCCACTCTAACCTGAGCATGGACCAACACACAGGGGTAAAGAGGTGCCTTTCATTTCAGATTCCATTGTAAACAGAAATCCTTGTTAATCCGTGCAGGCCTTTAATAAAAAAGGAGTCAGTTGATAAAAACTGGTCACAAACATACATTAATTTTTTTCTCTCTAACTTTTAGATGTTAGTATATCAGTAAGAAAAAATAGCCTCTTTCTTAGAATCTAGCCAAAAAGGCTAATGTCCACCAATTTGGTAATTCATCAAAAAAGGGAATTAAGGAAAGGAAAAGGCAACTGGAGGCTGGAAGTTTTGTGTGTGTGCTGCTGTTGTCTTTTTTTTTTTTTTTTTTTCTTAAATAAACATCTTTTATGTGTAATCAAATTCTCATTTTTTCCTATAAAGTCACAAAAATTTGTTCTAGTTTATCCGTAAGGCATTTTTTTTGTTATCCAAACGTTTCCTTTTTAAATTTTAAGTGTTAAAACCATAAATAAAAGGAATTAAACCAGTAAAATGACATGTGCCAATATCTAATTCAGCCAGACCTGATAAATTCTATCAAAACTAGACAATTAAATAAGAACCACATTATAAAAATATTAGCCAAAAAAAGACTATTAGATAATTCTGCAAACTCAAATATGAAACTCTACTAAACAAAATATGTGCAAACGTATACAAGCATATAGCCACAAGGCAAGGTTATGCTCAGATTAGTTTTAAAGCTTGCTCTAGTGGATTTAATTCAAGAGTTGACCCATAATGATTGTGCCTACTTTAACTCACACAGGAGTCAAAGTCAAATATGCACAACCGCTCCCAAAGAATCCATGTCTCCAAGCAGGAAGCCCCCTCCCATCTACACCCAGCCCACCTAGGCACCACCTAGGCAGAGGACCTAGCCCTGGTCCTCTGCTGGGCAAGGTCCAAAAGTTGCTCGGCAACACTGGCAACACTGACAACTTTCTTCCTCCTCAAATGGCCTCAGGAAGCCCAGGGCGGGTATTTGGGAGAAGGCAGCAAATTGCTGGTTTAGGCAGGTCCACTTTGGACTGGGCAGCCTGCAGCCTGCAGGGACAATGAAACCCAATAGGGTGTGTGAACCTCCAGCTACTGCAGCTCAAGGAGGTTTGGGCTGCGAGGATAACTGGAACTGGGATGCCCTAATGTCCATGAGCTCAGGCATGGTCCACATAGCATGAGGTCCTGCTTTGCTCCCTTAGGCCCAGAAACTCCAGACAACACTCAGGCACTCCCAGGTGTGGACACTAGAGGAGGAAAGGGTTGGTGGTGTTGGAGGCTGGAGCTGTTGACGAGGAGATGCCTGCATTGCCCACCACGTTCATTGCTGAAGGACCCAATGGCGTCAAGGAGGAACCACTGCTGCCCAGACCTGGGTGTGGAGTCGCAAGAGCCATGGAAGTCACTGTCAGGGGCTCCACAGTTGGGCTGGGCCCAAAAGATGTGCTGCCCCCTGGGACCGGGCTCCCCCGAAGCTGATTCAGTGTTAGTGGTTGGGACTGGTTCACCTGGAAGGGGTTGATGGAGGCTGAGGCTGTAGCTGGACCTGGGGAGAGAGCAGAACAGGCAGTGGGCAGAATTATTAGGACAACATGGCCCCCTACACAGACAATATTTCCAGCTCCTCCCTGCTGTGCCTGCAGGGCCTCTGGTGGCACTGAGCCCATGCCATGGCAGACATTGCCCACCAGTTGCATGACCACCCTCAGAGATGAGACCTGGCTGTGGTGGAGTCACTGATTTGCTGGGGTCACATGCCTGAAGAGACAGTACTCACTATGTGGCCCCTGTGCCGCCTCCTCCAGCAACCAAACAGCTGGTGACAACCTCTACTAATGCTGCACCCTGTGACAACCAGGAGCTGGTAAGTGGCTCCTGTCCAACTAGTGTCTCTAGAGTTTGCATCCCCTCAGAATGCCTTTCACCATGTAGCAAATTATCTATCAATATGCTGACAAAACCCAGAGCTGCCCATCTAAGCACCTAGGAAGGCACCCAAGGCAGCACTGCCACTGTGAGCCACACCAGGGAATGGCTCCAGTTCTCAAGGGCACAGAAATAGTTTGTGCATGTACCCCTCACCATGGCTTTGTCAAAACCACAAAAAGGTAAACTGAGACCAAAGGGGAGAAGAGTGACTCGTTAAGAGAGGAGCAGCTGGCTGTGTGGCCTTGGCAATCCAGTGGCCCTAGAGGTCCAGCAAGGCTTCCTGAGCTCAGGGCTGCCACATTATTGCTGTGGCTCAAAAGGGCCTCGGGTGGTTTGCAGACTGAAAAGCTGCCTGAGGCCCTGATGGTGTTCACGAACAGGCAGGTTACTGATGGACCTCTCGCTTGGTCACTGGACATAGGAGGCAGGAGCAGCCCTGGGCAGGGACAGGCTCAAGGCTGACTTGGGGTTCTGGGTTGCATCTAGCTCTACTCTAGGAAGAGCTTCAAGTACGACTCTGTTCCATGGCTCTGTAGACCCAAAGCACCAAAGGTGCATCCCCAGCTGCTCAGACCCTCCTCTCCCAGGGTGAGTTCTGAAGCCCCTGCTGGGGAATCTGGAGGGGAGGGAGGAGGGCTAGGAGAGTAAGGAGTCATCTGAACTGTGGTTTACAGAAGAGTGAGTGCTCCCCAGGACAAGGAGGCGGAAGGATCTAGACAAGACAGAACAGAACAGGCGAACACACCTGAAAGTAAGGAAAAACCTGTTCTTTGCAACTGAGGTTTGATGAAAGGAGTCAGCAGCCTGACACTAAATTCAGGGGCTAGGGCTTATCTTAGGAGCTCTGGTAGCATAGTGGTTATGAATCGGGCTGCTGACCTTAAGGTCAGCGGTTCGAAACTACCAGCTGCTCTGCGGGAGAAAGATGAGGCTTTCTACTCCCGTAAAGATTTACACCCTCGGAAACCCTGTACAGGGTCGCTATGGGTCGGAACCGACTCGACGGCACTTAACAACAACAAGGCTTATCTTGCAGACAACAAAGCTCTGAAAGGAGTGGAGCTGAGCTTTAGACCAAATGGGTGGGGTTCCAGGAGTGGAACTTCTTGCATTTCCCTACTTAAGGTGTGAATGCGCATAACAAACCTTGGCTCTTCCCACCTCTAACAGTCATTCCTCCCCTATTTGGCTAAGGGCTGTTGCTGAAAGCAGCTCACATTCTGCCCTTAGCTTAGAATGGCTTCATCTCCACCCCCACACAGCCTTGGAGAGAGGAGTTCTGAGCCCATCCTAGCAGATCCATTCTTCAAGTTGTGAGGCAGCCCCCTCATCAAAGAGACAGAGGAGATGATCTGAAGAATAAATCAGAAACCAAAGGACACCCTTGGGAGTGCATACCTGGTGCCAGGAAGGGATTGAGGGACTGTACTGGTGGAGTGGGCTTGGTCACCAGTGAATCCAGATTCACCAAAGCCGCATTGGGGCCTAGGAAGGACTCAGGAGTTTTCCGGGCACTGCTGGACTTGCTAGAAGCAGTGTTCAGGGGCTGAGAGTTGAAGAGGTCAGGGCTTGTGGTTCCATTGTTTGGGGATGCCAGACAGGCCACAGACTCAGCTGCAAGACAATGACACATACCCAATGAGCATGGGGACAAGAGCTCAGGAATCAGGGTATCACATTCACACTCCACATGCATTGTACCCCAGTCACACACAACAGTCCTCCAACCTGCAATCCCCAGTTTGCCCCACATGGCTGTGCATTGCAGGACTGATCCTACAGCCTCAAACAGGAGATACTGCTGCCAGTCATGGGGTGGGGCGGGTTATGTGACCAGACACTGTGCAGCCAGTGAAAACGCAGCTCCCAAGGAGCTGAAGTATTAGTGAAGACAGCAGGTTACAAGACAGTATGTATAGCACAATCTCCCAAAATGCAAAGACATAGGCAATTTATATTTTTATGTTTGCTTTTTCGAAATTTTCTACAATGAAATTATTTTCTTGTTAGTAAAAACCAAGTAAATATTCAGCCAGCAGAAGGTGTGCTGAGAGAGGTGGGAATGATGGCTTTGCTAGGCTGTAACATGATGGAATATGGTGGTGGTGAGTGCCTTTGAGTCGATTCTGACTGACAGTGATCCCGTATAGGGTTTCCAAGGAGTAGCTGGTGAGCTTCAACTGCTGACCTTACAATCCAGCACATCAACCCACAGCATCACACTAGGACTCTTGGTCAGACTCTCCCACTCAGTAATCCCATTTCTAGGAATCCAAACTAAAGAAATAATGTAAAATGTGCAATAATAGTATGTTCACCATAGCGTTATTTACATTAGCAAAACCTGAACTCAACCTAAAAATGTCCTCCCTCAAAGTGACATGAAGAAAGCAGACTGTGCTCAGGTGGTAGGGTTCTAGAGGAGTTTCATTTTCCAAACTGTCTACATTACACTGTGAGTACACCTGTAACCGAGGACAGAGCATGTCAGTCTGCAGAAGCCACTGAAGCAATGGCTGAGCAGCCCTTAGGCAGAGGTATGAGGGGCGGGAAAGGGCCCTTGGGCTAGCCTTGAGCCTGTGAAGGCAATGCAGGAAATCTTACTGCAAAGGAAAGACCCCCAAGAAACAGTAAATTCTCTAAGCTGTGCCTGGGGCCCCTGGGCTGGAAAAATAGACCAGAGGGGTGATCTGGGGTCTGGCTGCTTGTACCTGAAACCACAAGCTTGTGGCTGCAGCTGGGGAGTCAAAAACAAGGGGGGGGGGGGGGGGGCAGTTAAGGGGTAAGGGCAGGTGGGAGAGAATTAGAGAAAAGGAAGGAAGGGAGACCACTGGAGGGATGGATAGGAGGCCTCCACTGTTCCCATAGTCACACAAGGACAGGTAAAGAAGGTATCCCATTCTCTCAGCAACCCCACCCTGGAGGACCCAAAGGTCTGAAAGAAAGAGGCATCTCTAGGAAATAGAAAGCTGAAACGAAGTCAGACCCCAAGAAGGAAGTGTGCCACGCAGGCAGGCACCTGTCCCATGACTATGCTGACCTGATGATATGGTTAGAGGAAAGTAGCCCAAGATGCAGGTGACTGGAAGATGAAGCACGGGCCCAACAGAGAAGCCACTACAGAAAGCCTCCATGGTTTCCGTGGGACTTCCTGCAACTAGAAGCTTACGGATCTCAAGATCAGCACACAGAAGTACATGAAGCTGATCAGCATAGAAGATTATAGAAATCACCACCAGCTTTGCATACCTGTTGTTTTAGAAGTTCGAAGGCTGTCAAATTCAGAAAAGTCATCTTTGTTTGTACCATTCAGATTACTGAAGAGATCAAAGGACCCTGGTGGACATGAGAGACAGTGATGGGACATGTCAGGGGGCTTCTGTGCTTCAGTGCCACAGTCTACAGTCTCAGTTTGGTTGGCAGAGGGCCTTTGTCCTGTTGGAGGGGTCAGGACAATAAACTCCATCCCAACCCACGGGGAAAATTCCAGGGAGCAGAAAAGGCAGGACCAACTCTGGATTATCTACAGGCAGGGAGGACCAGGAGGGCCGGGGCCAGAGACATGGTCCCCAGTGCATAATGTGGGACACTCCTACCACTGTTTCCATCACAGCCCCCAAATGAAGGAGGGCATCTGAACAAGGCCCTAAAACTTGTATAGTAAGGTCTTTGGGAAATTCCTGAGGCTAGTCTGCCCTGTGCTGAGTACAGAACAGGCCTGATGGTTATGGGCCCAGCAAAGCCTGCTCTTCCCACACCCAGGTTGGTACTATATGCAGGATGACCTGTGAGCTCTTACCAGCCCACAGTGGCCAGGCTCCTACACTTGGACGTTTGGGATCGGTATCTTACCAGAGGTGGACACAGGCTTGGTGGTTGAAGCTGCACTCCAGGTGTCCGAGGATCTTGCCCTATCACTTGGAGTTGGCTGCTGTGGAACTGCCCAGGGGTCTGAGCCCTTGGAGATCGGGTGCGCGCTGGCTCCAGTGGGAATTCCCCATGGATCGACAGATGCTGCTGGCTTGGCACCTGTGGGAAGGTCAGGCCAAGTTTCACAGGGGCCCCTAAAATGTTGCAGGCAGTTGCGATGAGTGAAGGGACAAGATGCTGTGGGCTTTATAGAGGTGTGGACAGAGGTAAAGCCCCAAGTTGGACAGTGAGGGGGCCTCCTTCCCAGGACGGTGTGGTTTAACCCCACTGATGAGGGGTCAGTGGGGCATGGCTTCAGAGACCATCTTTCTAACCCCTGTACCCCTTCAGCTAGATGCCACTTCAGTGAGGTAGCTAAAGAAGGCTTTTCCCAAACAGGAAAAGCCGGGCTGCCCATGCTACATTCTCTGCCTGGGCTTCCCAAGCATCACTTGCACTTCCTTTGAAAGCTGGGAGTGGCTTCTTTCTGGCAGGTGTGTAAAGAAGAGGAGTAAGTCCCAAATGAAGAGAAGTAAGACAAACATGCATGTACTCAGCACACTCAGCATAAGCCATACAACATTTTCAAATTGTGACTGACAAAATCCATGTAGTGGGTCACAATGGGCTTTTTCGATTAAGGCAGAGAGAGAACACCTGAATTCATTTAATGCACTAAGGACATTTAATGCACTAAGGACATCCCTGGAAATAAGACTCTCACTTCAGGTCTGTGGAAATGCATCTGCATCTGCTACTGTACTTGTAACAAGAAGAACCCTGGGCCTACCCAGAGCACTATAAAAACTGAAGCCATTACTAAGCCATTGCTTGAAGGCGCCTCTCTGGTGACACCTCTATCCTAACCTCTACAAATTCTATGTTAGTGCATCCTGCTTCTCCTTCATTCATGGTATTCGTCTATTTAAAAAAATCACAACAGATTACTGTGTTGCAGGACAAGGGCATTCTTTCTCCCCCACTTGCTCTTCTTCACATCCCCTGAGACACAAGGGAAATGCTGTCACCAGCACCTTCATTTTTCCCAATTGATGCCACAGTGATTTCTAAAGTGGTTTTACCAACTGACACTCTTACTTCAGTGGGGGAACTTCTGTTGCTCGAGTCACTTCATAAATTCATGAATGTTTAGTGTTCTCTTACTTTTTCAACTGTGCCAATCCAAAGCAAACCAACCCCCACTGTCACCAAGTCAATTCCAACTCACAGAAATCCTTATTACGACATGACACAGCTTTCAGAGCTGTACATCTTTACAGAAGCAGACTACCAAATCTTTGCCCCAGAGAATGGCTAGTGGCTTCCAACAGCTACCCTTTCAGTGGGGGAAAGACAGCTTTAACCATGGCCCCAACAGGGTGTCAAAGGTTGTGATTTCCATTTCCTGGCCCCATAGTAACTCTTTGTGTCTTTTCCCAGTCATTCATTTTTTCTATAGTGTCTGTTGGAGTCTTTCATAAATTCTTCAGGTTTAGAGATTCCTTACATATTACCAATTCTGGTCCTTTTACTGGGTTACATTTCTCCCAACCTGTGGCCTGAATTTATCATTCTCCTTTTGTCTTTAAGGCAGAGAGAAGTTCTTAATTGGAATGTTAGTAAAACTTAACAATATTTTCCTTCACAGTCTGTGTTTTTTTGTCTTTCTACCAGGGCCTTGAAGAACCCCTGTGGCTCAATATTTAGCAATACAATAGACGTTGAGGTGAGCAATAACACCAGGGAGCTGCAGCCCTAGAGCAGCCAACCATATTTAATGGTTAGCATTTGTCCAGGGATAAAGCTTAGATGGTTGGATGTTGTTGTTGTTGTTAGGTGTCATCTAGTCAGAACCTACTCATAGTGACCTTACGCACAGCAGAACCAAACACTGTCCAATCCTGGGCAAACCTCACTATTGTTGCTATGCTTGAGCCCACTGATGCTGCCACTTTGCCAATCCATGTCGTTGGGGGTCTTCCGATTTTTCTCTGACCTTCCACCTTACCAAACATGGTATCTTTCTCCAGCGACTGGTCCCTCCTGACAATATGTCTGAAGTATGAGAGACGAAGTTTGGCCATGCTGGCCTCCAAGGAGCACTCTGGCAGCACTTCTTCCAACACAGATCTGTTGGTTCTTTTGGCAGCCTGTGGCACTTTCACTATTCTCCTCCAATATCATAACTCAAAAGCATCAATTCTTCTAAGGTCTTCCTTATTCACTGTCCAGCTTTCACATCCATATGAGGTTAGTGAAAATACCAGAGCTTGGGTCAGGCTCACCTTAGTCCTCAAGCTGACATCTTTGTTCTTCAACACTTTAAAAAGGTCTTGTGCAGCAGATTTGCCTAATACAATACGTCCTTTGATTTCTTGACTGCTACTTCCATGAGTGTTGATAGTTGGTTGATCCAAGAAGAATAGACGTCCTTGACAATTTCAATCTTTTCTCTGTTGATAAGAATGTTGTTTATTGGTCCAGTGGTGAGGATGTTTGTTTTCTTTACATTGAGATGCAATTCATACCAACCGCTGTGCTCTTTGATCTTCATCAGTAAATATTTTAAGTCTTCTTCACTTTCAGGAAGCAAGGCTGTACCATTTTCTTCATATAACCCCGACTCTGAGATAATTTGCTCAGCATACAGGTTGAATAAATATGGTGAAAGAATACAACCCTGTTGCACACCTTTCTTAATGTTAAACCATTCAGTGTTTCCATGTTCTGTTCGAACAAATGCCTCTTGGTCCAGGTACAGATTCCTCATGAGCACAATTAAGTGTTCAGGAATACTCATACTTAGCAATATTGTTGATAGCTTGTCATGATTCACACAATCGAAAGCCTTTGAGTAGTCAATAAAGCAAAGGTAAACATCTTTCTGATATTCTCTGCTTTCAGCCAAGATCCATCCCCTTAACTTCTTATCAGCGGGATGCTCTAGCTTTCTGTGGCTATGTCCTTGTCCATGGGCTCAAGTGTCCCCAAGTCTCACCACAGTTTGGACCAACCCGCCCTTCCTCTTCTCTCTCTCATTTCCAGGTCAATGGGAGTCAATGGAATATGGTTGAACTCAGTCCATTTCCATTGTTGCCTTTTCCCCTCTTTCAATCACCAGTAGAACAATGTGATCGTCAGAAAGCTTATATGCCTGCTCATGTGTTCCCTCCATTGGTTTTTAAATACCAGCAGGATCATCCATGGTAGACAGGTTTCTGTAGGACTTCCAGACTATGATAGACTAGAAAGAAGAAAAAGCTGACCACTTCTGAATGAACAGTAGCCGAACATTGTCAGATACAGTGTCAGATGATGAGCCCCTCAGGCTGGAAGGCATGCAAAATAAGACTGGGGAAGAGCTGCCTCTGCAAAGTAGAGTTGACCTTAAAGACAAGGATGGAGTTAAGCTTTCGGACTTTCATTTGCTGAATGTGGCACACCTCAAAATGAGAACAAACAGTTGAAAACATTTATTAATAAGTGGAAAATGAATGTGCAAGTATGAATCTAGCAAAGTTAGAAGTTGAAAAATGAAATGGAATATATAAATATAATTATCCCACATATTTCACCATGCTTATTCAACCTGTATGCTGAGCAAATAATCCGAGAAGCTGGGTTATATGAAGAAAAATATGGCATCAGGATTGGAGGAAGATTTTGTTAACAACCTGCGATACGCAGGTGATACAACCTTGCCTGCTGAAAGGGAAGAGGACTTAAAACATTTACCAATGAAGATGAAAGAGCACAGCCTTCGGTATGGATTATATCTCAAACATCCTCACCACTGGACCAATAAGCAACATTCTTATCAATGGAGAAAAGATTGAAGTTGACAAGGACTTCATTCTTCTTTAATCAACTATCAACACTCATGGAAGCAGCAGTCAAGAAATCAGACGACATATTGCATTAGGCAAATCTGCTGCACAAGACCTTTTTAAAGTATTGAAGAGCGAAGATGTCAGCTTGAGGACTAAGGTGCGCCTGACCCAAGCCATGGTATTTTCAATAACCTCATATGCATGCAAAAGCTGGATTCTGAACAAGGAAGACCGTAGAAGAACTGATGCTTTTAAGTTATGGAGTTGGAGCAGAATAGTAAAAGTGCCACGGGCTGCCAAAAGAACCAACAGATCTCTCATACTTTGGACATATTGTCAGGAGGGACCAGTCGCTGGAGAAGGATATCATGTTTGGTAAGGTGGAGGGTCAGAGAAAAAGAGGAAGACCCCCAATGAGATGGATTGGCCAAGTGGCAGCATTGATGGACTCAAACGTGGCAACAGTAGTGAGGTTGGCCCAGGATAGGGGAGTGTTTTGTTCTGCTGTGCATAAGGTCGCTATGAGTCGGTATTGACTAGATGGCACCTAAACAACATGTATTTGCGAGCTATAATAAACGGAAATAGATCCATTAGCTATTTTGAATCAGACAATCACAATTTGCTAAGGCTGTCTCATTTTTCATCAAAGAGAGTATTCCAAGATCTATTATGAAGAACAATGCTGTCTGTGATTAAGATAATATCCATACGTCTATAAGAAAGACAAGGAGCTCCGGTAGCGTAGTGGTTACGAATCGGGCTGCGAACCGAAAGGTCAGCAGTTCAAAACTACCAGCTGTTCCGTGGGAGAAAGATGAGGCTTTCTGCTCCCGTAGAGACTTACAGCCTCAAACCCTGTTTAGGGTCACTATGGGTTGGAACCGACTCGATGGCACTTAACAACATAAAAAAGACTACTTAATACCACTATTATTCAAATTTACACACCAACCACTAAAGCCAGTGATGATGAAACTGAAGAATTATATCAATTTCTTCAGTCGAAATTTGTCAAACATGCACAATCAAGATGAACTGATAATTGCTGGTGACTGGAATGCAAAAGTTGGAAACAAAGAAGATGGATACTTAGTTGAAAAACACAGCCTGGGTGATAAAAACCATGCTGAAGGTATGATAGAACTCTGCAAGACCAATGACTTCTTCACAGAAAGATCTTGCTTTAACAATATAAAAGGTGACTGTACACCTGGACCTCACCAGATGGAATACACAGGAATCAAACTGATTACACCTGTGGGAAGAGACGATGAAAAAATTCATTAT